AAAAAAAAAAAAAACACACAGAGGAGAGGAAATACAATAAGATATATTGCATAATACCTTTCACATAACCTTTTAAAATATATGCACATAAATCAACAATGCCTATTTTGCAGGAACACAGTTAAAATAAAGATGGCCACTAGCATAGTAAAATAATGACCTGCAGGGAGAGGGGAATGAGAGTAGGTAATAGGGAGAAAAGAGGATAAGATAATTAATAACATAACTAAAGGACTGTGCAGACCACAAATAATAATACAGCATGAACTGAGCAATATGATGGTCAGGGCTTTTCAACCAAGGCAAACACATGAGACAGAGGCAGTCACCACCACAAAAGGGAAGACATGCTGTGTACAGAAAATCTTGATTATACAAGATAGAGTGTGATGTGGGCTCTGCAGCAGGTACTAAGGAAGGGCCCAAGAGCCACAGCAGGGGTTAGGGGAGGCCCATGTTAGGAGAGTCAGCACAGGCCGCATGGAGAAGGCATCACATCTGAGTTAATGTTACCTTCCTAAGAACAGGCCTCTTTCCCAGGTGGTGCACCCAGAGAGGTCTGCTCACACCATAGAAGAACATTTCCACTTACAGAGACCTTGGGCTCAAATCCACAATGGGTTACCACCCTGGAAGACCAGCACTCTCCCCAGCCATGCAGACATGTCCTGATGACTGGTCAGGAGACAGGAAGATGACCTCCTGGCCAGGTCCTGAGCCTTCCAGTGGAGCCAGGGGCACAGGCCAGGCCACATCCAATGGCTAGTTGTAAATTGCTTTCTCTATTATAAGGCCCTCCTGTTACCCCCATGTAAAGCTCAACTATGGATGAATAAAAGGAAGAATCTAAGTTCAGCAGGAAATAAGTGGTACCAGGGGCACCAGTGATTCCTCAGCATCTGCTCCCAGTGATGCTAGACTAAGGGATGAACCACCCTCCCTCTAAGGGGGCTACAGAAATCAGAGGATACCTTAAATCATCTTCTTAATAACATTGAAAGCCAAACCAAAAAAGAGCAATTAATAGAGTAGAACAGGGAGGATAAGGGTCTAAGTGGCCGAGTCCTTACTCCTTACCTGAAATGCAGTCACTCACTGGGAGCAGGCAGCCAACAGGCCTAGCTCCTTGGGTGAGCAGGAGGGTGATATTGCATACTGTAGCGTCCTGAAGACTCTTAGCAGGTAAGAGTCACCCGCTACCTCACCATGCTGGCATTTTTATCCTGGGGCTGCCTGCCAATCCTCAGAATCTGGAACGTAGAGCTAAAGGGACAGACTTGGCATTCATTGTCCACCAACATGGACACTTAGTTTAAGCCCACCCTGTGCTCTGCGCACCGACCCCAGAAATGGGTGCAGACCAACTTTGTGGTCATTTAGAATATTCTCAAGCCCATTTCTGGACTGAGTGCCCAGATATTGGCAGAAGGAGATAAAAGCAGAATATAAAGTTTTATTTAAGGATATGGACATTTTGAAAGCGATATTGCAGATTTTTAAAAGAACCAATTAGATAATACAGAACTGACACCTACAATAATCCAATTAAGAACTCGATAGAAAACAAGTTTAATAACAGATAATGGAAAGGAAGTTAAGTCAGAAAAACCACCCAGAACAATGTCCAGAGAGGCATGAAGATGGAAAATAATAAATGAGATAGAAGATGCAGTGCGAAAATGCAAGATGTGTGGATTACTGGAGTTCAGACAGAGGGGAGGGGAGAGAGAGTGGAGCAGAGGCAATATTTGAAGAGAAAATGGTTGAAAAATTTCCAGGATTGATGAAATAAACCAATCTGCTGATTAAAAATGCCAAACGGGAGATACCCACAGGAAATAGGAATCTCAAAGAACCACACATTGGTTAAGCCAATAATTTCCTCCTGGAAAGTTCCTCTTTCATGACAACATGTGAAAGTACTTGAGGGAGCTGGTGGATTTCCTTACAGAGGGTTTTTTGTTTGTTTTTAAGATGGGAGAAATTTGGCCTAGTTTATAAGCCTACGGAAGGAACCAGTTGAGAGTGAGTGGTTGAAAACACAGGAGAGAAGGGTGATAATGCATGAAGTTTTTAGAGGGAACAGGGCTCCATACTGTGAATAATTATAATAGCTACCGTTTATGGAGCAGTACACACCAGTCTGTTTCAGGAATTCGTCACACACATCAATACTAATTCTTAAAATCCTTAATTATTATTTCTGTTCAGACATCACTGATATGTTAATTGATGCTCACAAAAAATAGAGGAAAAAATATTGTATAGCTCGTAAGTGGTAGCACTAGGATCCAATCAGAGGTCAGTTATACCACAGCCAGTGTTTTTCTACTTTACCAGGATGTCCTCTGAGCCCCAGTGGGCCTCTGACATTGGACTGAAGAGGACAGGATGGTGGTGGAGGTGGAGATGTTTGGAGATTATAAGGAAAGGATTAGAAGTTGAAGTAGTTGGGACCTGAAGCTTGGTTATTCCCAGGAAAATGGTAAGAGATACTATCTGTGGTGTTTGAAGGATGTGGGAATTTAACAGAGAAGTAGCCACCAAGGAAGAGTCTTGTAGCGTGGAGGGAGAGAAAAGAAGCCAAGTTAGACCAAAGTGGGGGAGGAGACTAGAAGTCAAGAGTGCAGGGAGCATCCATGCCAGACTTCAGGCTGGAGGAGTCAAGCAGAGGGTGGGAGCTGAGGCAGAGGGGGATGCTGTACACTGACGTACTCAGGCGGGTGGCTGGACTGGGGTAAAAGGAGGGCTGTGAACCCGGTGCCCAAAACACCAAGACCAGCATGTACAGGTGTTCCAGAGGCAGACCACCGACAGTCAGAAGTGGGGAGAAGCTTGGGGAGAAACAATATTTCATAGTCTCAAAGTAACTTCCCTCAAATATTTATTAATTACAAAGGGAAAATGTTAACTTTACAGTGAAAAACCTAGCAGACCTCATTTTAACCAAGTGATCTGGAAATTTTGTATTAAAATGTTGTTTTTTTTTAAAGATATAGTCAGACAAAGCTCCCAGATGCCTAGCAAGCAACAAGTGAATAAACAATGACTATTACTGTAGTCCTGGAGGTAATTATAACAACGTCCCCAGTAACCTACAGCCCAAAGATCTTCTCACTCCAATCCCACCTTAGTGCAAAATAACTGCTAATGTGTCGCTGCTTCCCAAAGGGTTAATGAGCTGTCCCTGGGTAGCATGTGGTTAACACATGTATATATGATGGGGGGCAGGGAGAGGGGGCAATGGGCGGGTGTCTTTGTAATGAAGAGAGTGACTCTAACCGCGGGGATTTGGGCCTGATGGCAGGATGGGAACTGCTTTGGGGCTGGGAGGGGAGTTTTGGGTCTCCAACTGTAGTAGGTAGCTTGCTGTCCTCCACGTTACGCACACCTGCATGCTCTTGGCTTGACCTCTAACCGTGCTTCTGCGGTTCTGGTCCCCCTCCTCGGGTCTCATCTCCAGGTGTGTGGGGGGTGGTGGTGGGGGCGTGCCTGGGCTCCGCTTCCTCTCTGCCTGGGCTTTGGGGGTTTATGGGCTCCCTCACCTGCTTCTCCCGCACCAGCACCGAACCAGTCTAAGTGTCCGCGGGACAAGCGCGGACTGGAAAACCGAACGTTCCGGGACCCGCTCTTCTGGGAAGCGCACCAATGCCCTCTAGTGGGTGAGCAATGAACTGGCGGAAGTCCCGCTCCTCTGACCCCTCCCAGTGCCTAACCTGCGTGTTCCTGTACTTCACATGCTGATTTTCCACTGACGGGGGTAGAGGGGGCGGAGGGGGGCAGTGTCAACCTGAGAGTGTGCGCTGGGGCTGGGGGCAGAGAGGACGGTGCAGTCGTCGAATGAGCCAGTCTGAGTCAGCCCAGATCCAGGAAGGCGCGGAGGCCTCCTCCTGCCTTCTTGTCCCCTTCGCTGGTCTCCACACCTTTCAGGTCTTCATTCTCCATGAGGGAAAACAAGGCAGAAAAGACCCAGGCAGTTTCACACAGTCATGTGGAAACTTACCACTTCTGAGAAGGATTTGGAGTGATCACAAAGATTTATGAGAAAAGAAAGAGAAAAAAGGATGGGGGGTGGGGAGGAATCTACAGGGGAGTAAAGTTAATCCTTAAAATGACTCTTGAGACCTTGAATAGTTACTAGACCAGAAGACTAGAAACAGGATTTTTTATATATATCTCTATGTCTCTATCTACCTATCTACCTACCTACCTACCTATCTATCTATCTATCTATCTATCTATCTATCTATCTATCTATCTATCTATCTATCTATCTATCTATCTATATCTATCTAGTATCGACATAAGAAAAAAAGCATGTTCTGTATCTAATAGATGCATGTTGCTCTGTGCAACAGGGAATAGTCTCACAAACATAATGCAGTGTGGAAGAAGCAAAGGATAACCCCACTCCCAAGTATTACATCATCCCATTTGAATAATGTTTACAAAAGACAAAACTAAGCTGTACTGTTTAGGGAGACCTACACGGTTTAGTCCAGAAATCAGGTATTACAGAAATTAGAAATCCCTCCCATTCCTGGGGAGGGAGAAGGTTGTAATCTACAAAGAGCAAGATGGAACCAGGGAAGGGCTTTTAGGTTGTTAGGGTGTTCATGATACTCTCTTTCTAAATATGTACATATAATTGAGTTTGCTGTGTGTATATGGATTATAAAATCCCAATTTGCTGTATGGAGATATATACCATGTTTATCAATAGGATGACTCAATATCATAAAGATGTCAACTTCACAAAATTTTAAGTTATTATTTTAGTCAAAATCCCAACAAAGATTTTTATAGAACTGACAAGCTAATTAAACAAAATGTGTATATTTCACTATGAAAATGTATGTAAAATACTAGAAAAAAGAAAGAATTAAAAATTAAAAACCTTGGAGTGGAGAAGTCTTTCTAAGTAAGAGATAAAACCCAGAAGCCAAAAAAGGAAAAAAAAAAAAGGACATGTGTGAACACATAAAACAAAATTCCGCATGGAGAAACGCCAAACACAAAATAAAAAAATAAGTGAAAATTGGAAAAATAATTGCAACTCGTATGTCAGATAGTTAATTTCCTCAATATGTAATCAACTCTTTCAAATCAATGAAGAAAAACCCAATAGAAAAATGGGCATAGTGCAGAAAAGGATATATAAATGGCTGAAAGACAAAAGATGTTCCATTTCTCCTATAAATAAGGATATGCAAATAAAAACTAAAAAGGAGATGTTTTTCATTAAGAAATTTGATACTTATGAGAATGCAAACAAGCATTCTCATGCATTTGTTGGACTTGTAAGTCACTGCAATCTTTTTAGACAGCCATTTGGCCAAGTCTATCAAAATTACACATGCATTATCTCTGTCCATCCTATAGGTACTCCATATTAAGTGTACAAAGCTATATATATGTAAAGTTGTCGATTGCAATATTTGTTTTTGCAAAAAGCTGGAAACAACTTAATGTCTACCAACAGGTAACCAGAAAGTGAACTACTTTGTAGCTATTTCTTTAGTGAGATAGACTGAGTATTGACATGGAATGATTATAGATAAGAAGTTCAGTGAGAAAAGCAAGGTGCTAAACTATTGTGTATTTCATGCATTTTATTTCTCCATTTGTGTCAAAAAATGGATGGGATAGATTTGGAGAGAGCATAAATCATATACATAATTGTGGGAGATTAAAATATTACAAACACCTGTAAGCAGCAGATGTATTGTGGAAGGCTACTGGGAGCCTGAGAACCAGAGGTGAGCAGTGTACTTAATGAGTTTTTATAAATCTCTCCTATTCTTTCATCTCCCTACACAAATACACATATTTTTAATTCTTAAGTGCATTAAAAAAGTTATTCTGCCTTTTTCCTTCCTCCAAAGGTTCTATCAAATCTGAGGAAACTGGTCATAGAGTAGACCATCTTCCCATGAGCCCAATTTGCATGTTAATATAAATTCTTACATACAAGAAAGATGTATAGTTAAAACAAAAAATAAAGGTGGTTTTTTCAATTATCAAAGTGAATCCTAGAGTATCTAGGAATAAATCTAACAAAAGATGTCAGATATATATGGAAAATATGTAAAACTTTATGGCAGGATTTCGAAGAATACCTAAATAAATGGAGATATGTGCCATGTTTATCATAAAGGAAAACTCAGCATCATAAATATGTCAATTTCCCAAAATAAATCTATAAAGTCATTGTTCAAACCCCTCCCACAAAGATTTTGTACACAAGCTGATTTTAAAATGTATATGAAACTGTAAAGGACTTCCAATAGCCAAGACAGTCTTAAAAATATTTGGGAATACAAGCTCACCCAGAAGCCAAGACTTATTATCAAATTACAGTAATTAAGACTGCAGTATTGCTCAAGGACAAACAAATAGACCAATGGAACAAAATAGAGAGCTCAGAAACAGACCAACACATTTTGGGAAATTCGATTTATGGCAAAGCTGACATTGCAGATGACTGGGATGAATGGTTCTAGGACGATTGTTATCCATATGAGAAAGAAGATCTCCCCATAACCACTTTCACAAAGAATCAAATGTGGGTGGATATAAGACAAAATATAAAATAACACATTTAAAAATTTTTAGAAGAAAACACAGGGAGACATGATCTTGGAATAAGAAAGGGTATTTTAATCAAGTCATCCAAAGCACAGACTATAAAGAAATAGAAAAGTTAAATTACATTAACATATAAATTTTCTATGCCTTGGAAAACACCATAAGAAGTTATAAGACAAGTCAAGGTGTGAATGATAATATTGGCACAACATCCATCTGACAATGAAAGGAAAGGAGCGACACATACCAGCAATTCACTGGAGAAATCCACTTTATTAGGGAAAGGTGCTGGGTTATATAGGAAGGGGCATGGGGTGATTGTGGTGTTACTTCTACGGGGCTGGTGGCTATTGGCTAGGTGCTGGGAGTGGGAGTGGGGAGAGAGGTGATTGGTCTTCAGGTGGTGCCGGCAGGAACCAAGGACCCGGAAGAGAAGCCGGAAGTTCGCCATCTTACTGGTGGGGGCCCTTCAGACAAAGAATTAATATCCAAAATATACAAAGAATTCTTAACCATCAACAAAAAATTTACAACAACAAATAGAAAACTCAGAAAAGGTTATGGATGGGAGTTTACAGAATAAAAATTACAAATAAACATTAAACATATGAATAGATACTTAACCTCTAACCTCATAGTAATTAATTGAAAATAGAAATTAAACCAAAAAGAAAGAATTCTGCAAGCCCATTAAGTCAGGAAAAAAAATGAACAAATTTGATAATAGGAAGTGATGAGGACTGGGAACACAATAACCCAGCTATTGCTGGTATTAGTACTTTGGAGATGGAGTTGGCAGTGACTAGTAACGTTGAAGCTGGATGTCCTTTGTAACACTGCAGACCAATCCTGGATGTGTACCCTATGGAAACTCACACACATTCACAGGAAGACATGCACTAAACTGTCCATTGCATTGTTTATAATCAGGAAAAAATGCAAACAGGCCAAGTTTTCATAAGTAAATGAATAAATTTAATATTAACACAATAGTGTACTACACTGCAGTGAAAATAAAGTTTTATTTATTAAAAAAAATCCTAAAACATATGTAACATCATGTTCTTTATAAATATTAACTCATTTTTCTCTTTGGCCAGAACTGCCATCTTCCAGTAAATCACCAAAATGACCAACACAAAGGGAAAGAGGAGAGGCACCCACGATATGTTTTCTAGACCTTTTAGAAAACATGGAGTTGTTCCTTTGGCCACGTACATGCCAATCTACAAGAAAGATGATACAGCAGACATCAAGGGAATGGGCACTGTTCAAAAAGGAATGCCCCACAAATGTTACCATGGCAAAATGGACAAGTCTACAATGTTACCCAGCATGCTGTTGGCATTGTGAACAAATAAAGGGCAAGATCCTTGCAAAGAGAATTAATGTACTTATCGAGCACATTAAGCACTCTAAGAGCCGAGATAGCTTTCTGAAGCGTGTGAAGGAAAATAATCAGAAAAAGAAGGAAGCCAAAGAGAAAGGAACTTGGGTTCAACTGAAGCACCAGCCTGCTCCACCCAGAGAAGCACACTTTGTGAGAACAAATGGAAAGGAGTCTGAGCTGCTGGAACCCGTTCCCTGTGAATTCATGGCTTGATGGGTATAAAACGTAAATAAATAAAAGATCTCTGGACTGTAAAAAAAAAAATATATATATATATATATATATATATATATATAAACTCATTTACTGAATGAACCAGAGCTAGATTTGTCAACATGAGTCAACATGGATAAATCCCTAAAGCATCAGGTTGACTGGAAAAAAACAGTCACAGAGGTGTATGTGTAGTCTTTATCATATATGTAAAGTCTGGAATGTTTAAAACAGTTTTATATAATGTTCATATATAATAAAAATATGGAGAGGTTAGCTCAGGGGTGAGGGTGAGGGTAAGGAGGGTCCTGAGGGGCTTCATCAGGAAGACTGCATTTCTAATGTTTAGTGATGGCGAACTTACTATCTACACCTCAGTGTATCTTTGACATTGTTCATAAAACAGTAAAAAAAAAAAAAAAAGGGAAAAAGATCACCTCTCCCATTTAATTAGTTTTCTTCCAGTTTTTCTTCTACGCTTTTTAAAACATTTGTGATTATATCATATATAGTAATTTGTATTGTTTTTATTG